ACCAGTAGATGGTGATACTAAACTGTGCTTTCAAATAAAACTTTAACTGCTTGGCTTGTTGGATTTTTTTTTGCCTTTAACCGATGGGGGTGCCATTTGTTAGCCAGTCTATAAGTGATAGGTCAGTGTGTCTTCATCTCTTGGATGTGCATTTGCAGCTACTCAAAGCAACCAGTTTTGGCATCCTCTTTGTCCATTCAGATGCTCTGTCAGGATCCTCAGCTGAAAATAAGTGCCTGATCTCCCAGGCCTTCAATTTAAGCAAAAACCTAAATTTAGAGCTCACCAACACTGGCCACACCAGCTGCTGGCTGGTCACAGCCATGAATATAGGCAGTTGCTGCATTTGTTGCCTTTTTATCAAATACCAACAGGTTTCATGATAACTCCTATAATGTTGGGCAAAAATACAAAACATTAATGGACACCGCTGGTAGTTTGTGTTTTTTTTTACTGTCAGAAAATCCCATTTAAAGACCAAAATGAACAATCTGACTTTTAAACTCAAGCCACTTTGTTCATATGGAATAACTACATTGTATTTTATTTTTTATAAAACAAAGCACAGGCAGAGTTATATTTATAAAGAAGGCCAAACAATTTTTTAAATCAGGTGGGCAAGTTTTTAGCAAATAGGAACAAAATAGAGGATTTTGGTGGACTTCTTCTAGTTGATGAATAATAAAAATGTAGTTTGATAGTGAGTATATACAGCAGCAGGACAGTGTAAGTCAGATTGTTGGGCAAAGAAGGTCTCTACTGACAAGTATATAAAATAGCCTGGGCCATAGAAGAATACATCTTGTCAGTGGGAGCAATCATTAATTGGTTGGTTTTGGTGTTAGGAGATGAAATACAAATGTTGAAAAAGATTAAATGTTTAAGTAGAGACAGAGAATGGATTTAAAGGTGAGAAAGGGACACAATATCACACAGTCCCTTTTTTTCTTTTTTTTAAACTTTTGCACATCATAATGTCAGTTTATCTCATACTATCAAATCTTTAGAGCAATTTCCGCTTGACATGTCTGATTTCCCTGAAAAATTTCCAGCGTAAGATATGTGTTTATAAAGATATTTGTGAAATTTTAAATTGATGTATCACTTACTATAAGGCTGCATGACAAGTCTCCTCCAAACCAAAGTTTATCCCACAAAATATTAAACATAATTCTTTAAATAAAAAAAAAAAGTAATCATTTTCATACATAGTTCAACAAATCCCCCCCCATTTTTATGATCAAGAATGTCATTAAAAATTATTCCATGTTTTATTTTCTCTCATATTGACATGTATGGGGGCATTATTGTAACAAAACTATTTGTGCGTATGCATATGGAGAGTTGTCAGTCTGTATCTCAATCTGTGTGTCCGAAGTGAGATTTGTCAATGTGTAAAAGAAGTTGTCAATGCGATCTGGAATCTACAAAAGTCAGCTCACAATTTGTCTGTCTGTAATCAGGTTTTCAAATGTGTAAAAAATCTTCTCATCTGTATTAAAATTCGGACATGTATTAAGAGTTGTCAGTGCGTACAATCATCATATTCATACTTAGTTGAACAAATATTTTCCCCCCATTTTTATGATCAAGTATTTCATTTCAAAAGTGTTCCATATTTTTTATTTTCTGTCATAGTGGCATGTGACTACATATGGATCAGAAAATATCACTGGTTGACTTCTGCATTATTACGTTTTTTTCTTTATATGTAGTCAAATATGGGACATTTCATGAGGGCTGGTATACTTAAAAAAAAGCTAAAACAAAATTTCAAGTCACTCATAATTAGATAGTTATTTGATCTACTTGTCAAATATTACACATTATGGCTTAATGGCATGATGGGAAATAACAGTGAAACTTTCAGGCTTTTATCTGAAGTAGTTCCTGAGAGGCTCACATCCAAACATAGCCTCTGTAATGTACAAGCAAAAAAGTACTGAAAGTGGGTTGATGTGAATTTAAGACATTGCTATATCAATCTAAAATTGCACACATACCATTTGAAATATGCATTGTTTACAATACAGGATCTTTCAAGCAAATTACAGATGATCAAGCAGAAGGCCACTGATGATTTACGATCGTGTAACACAATATCTTTAAAAATAATAAAAGATTAGAGTAAAACATCAATAATTATTAATGTATAAGAGAAGATTTCTGACAAAAAGGCAAAGATGAGAAGTGTGAGGTAAATATTGTGTTTAATAAACAAACATCAGTCAGGGAACTGACATTAGTCTGGGGATGGAGAAAGGGGAATATAAAGCACAATGCACATGTGTAGAGGTGGGGGGGAACATATTTATCTGTTACACAAGGTGCCCCCGTACAGTAGGAGCAGGAAGTTCTCTATAACATACAGATCAGGATCCAAGTCTACGGTACAAAAACTTAGCAGCAACATGTTAACATCAGAGACCAAGGGGCTAACAAAGTAGTTTCATTTAGAAAAAGTCACAGTATTCTTTAAGCATAAATTTGTTAAAAAGGTAAAAACAGTTCTAAGCATCCTCTAGGGTCAATGCTACTCACAAGATTTGTGTGTGAAATACATAGGTAGGGAAATTATCTATACATTTATACTCTAATATAAAGACCTTCTGGTAATGGCACAGTACAAACTCTCAGGAAACGCGACAAAAATATACAATGTCTTCACGTCACATTTGCAGATTAAAATGTAACTAAGGTCTCTGGCAAGCAGAATAGTTTCAGTGATCAAAAAAAAAAACCAAACAAAAAAAAAAACAACTTCTTTTCAACCAAAATAAAGGACACCATTTTGTTAGTTCAGCTATCTTGACAGATTATGTCTTTTTAATATAAAAATAAGGACAAATATAAATTAATATATATTAAAAGAATCAGATTGATACATGGGGAATCTACTGAATAAGTACAGGTATTTATGATACAATAAATACTTGTCATTCATGACTGGAGGGTGGCGGGGTAGATAAACAGAGAGTAGTGGATTTAACCTGGCAGGTAACATGTTTAACTCTACAGGTGAGAGTATTTGTGTGTGTGTTGTTCAGTAGCTGTATAAAATACCACAAGTTTGAGCACAGCTGTGTGGAGGATCATGCACACAGTCTCAGAGGGTTCAGGAGGTCTGTTAAGGGAGACTGCAGACTACAGTGGTGGTTTCTTGTGTTGTAGGGGGTTATCACTGCCCGCCCTCTCCCATGCCTTAGTGCAGCTCCTCTCAGTGGTGAGTCTGTGGTACTACCAGTTAAGGTTACTCCTAAAACACACAACTCACAGACAGAAAGCAGGAGGTCTACAGGAGACGGTGAGCCGTCAGCGACCCGTCAGTCCTCTGGGGGAAGAGAAAGTGTGGCACACCGTTGGAGTCATCATGACCGACAAAAAGAAGTAGACGTAAGGAAAAAGTCAACTCTTGTGTGTTTTTTTTTTCTTTTTTTTTTTCTTTTTCTCCACTTCATAATAAAAAATAAGTCTGTTTTTGTACTTTACAATACAATTCAACATCCCCACCGAGGAAGCATCAATCATCAGTCCAGCACTGACAAGAAAAGAAACTCTTTTTTTTTTTTTTTTTTTAAATAGTTGTTTCTCTTGTTTTTTTTTTGACTTTTTTCAGGGTTTTTAAAAAAAACAAAACAAAACAAAACAAAAACAAAAAAAAACAGGGTTGGTGGGGGGAGCAACTGTGGAGGGTTTCCTCACGGGAAATCAGGATTTTGGACAACAGGGGATCAAGTAAGGCGGGCAGGAACACAGAACATATCTGGAGAGGAGGAAATCTGCCAAGGGTGTTGTCTCTTTTTTTTTAAAATTCTTTCTTTCTTTCTTTCTTTTTTTTTTTTTTTTTACGAAGAACACTTTGTACAGCCGCACTTGACAACTTTCTCCACTTCCTGGACAAAAGAGGAGCCATCAGTGCACTGGAAGGTGTATTTCCTACGTTTGCTGCGTAGGGGGGTGCAGCAGGTGCCCTGTCCTTCTGCTCCCCCCGGGCAGCTGCCTCGACACTCTAGACGGGAGACCTTCTCCTGGGTTTGGCACGCCGCGTAGCCTTGCTGTCTCTGGTAGACATCTCGGACCCGTTCCCCTCGGCAGGCCACCTCTGCAGTCAAGAAAAGCAAACAGTTTAGTTACACGTTGTCCACAAGTTTAAATCGGAACTCCATCAATTTTGCACATCAGATTGCATGGGGGAGAAGAGTTGTATAAAACTGTTAAATCTGATATAACGCCTCTGTTGTTGGCACCAGGCTTTGACAAGAAAGATAAATGCACAGAATAGAAATCTAATATCTCTGGATCTGTTGTTTTGATTTAGGTTTTTTTGAGAAAAAAACCCCCCAAAAAACAAACCACTATCCATTGTATATTTGACAGCGTTGCAGGAGTACGATGTTAAATCAGTGGAGACTTTTAATTGTTTTGAAGCAACAATGACAGATGATCTCAATGGCAAAAACAAAACAGTAACCCAACACATCAGTGGGCTCTACAGAGGACATGAAGAGGGCTGTGAGAAGAGGCAACAAAGCATGCAAAGGCTCCTTTAGGGAGTTTTTACAAAGGTTGAGAAATTTCCTTATCTTAAGCCCAGAAAAAGGAAATTGTCAGTGAGGTACGACTGCACGATCTTAAGATCAGTTTAAAAATTAACCTAAAAAGTAATGAGATAAGCAAAGAAACATTTACATTTCAAAATGATGGTTATTGGAATTAAATAATTAGCATTTTAATTCAGCAAAATATTGGATACCAGGACACGATAACTTTTAATGCACAAATTATTTTGCTCCTTTATGTATAATCAGGAATGTCACATACAGTCTATTCTACATCCTTGTTTCAGCTCCAGTTAGAACAATAGACTGTATAATAATACAGTGAAATTTGTTACCTCTAAAAAATGGAAAATGAGCCTTGAATATGAAAAATTAAGATTTCATTGTCGTAAAATAAGAGTGACATTTGTGCAGTCATGATCTCAAAGATGGAACATCTTCAGCTGTGTGTGGAATGACATGACAACAAGGTGAAGCAGGGTTAGTGGACTGAGGCATGCTGGGTTGTAATCCATGAGAAAAACTCTGAAAATCAGAAAAGAAAAGCTGACAGTAACATGTGATCAGTCTCACCTGAGTAACTCCCCGCGAGGGATTAAGAGGAGGCTCAGGAGATGCTGAGTTGAAAAAGCAGCAGGTTGGAGGCGTTAATGCAGAAACGTTAAACACTGTTAGACACGCACACACACACACCGCTGAGAGACTTTAATGAGAGAGAAAAGCAGCAGCTTAGAAGAAGGCTGTCAGGAGAAACATGCTTCAGATTTCAATACTCCAACAGTATTAGGTTAATATCTTTAGAAGAATGTGAAAAGTCAGTTCACAGTGCACACAGATAGTAACTTGCACACACAGTGCAATCAATCAGCCGCCGTGTTTTCTCACCTCTGTCGCATGCCTCTCCTGTATATCCACTGTTGCACTCGCAGTAAGCCTTGCCCAGACCCGACACTCTGCATTTGCCATGTTTGCAGCGCGACAGACTGCAGGGGTTAGCGTCAGCCTGGTCCTGCTCATCACAGAGGACACCAGCGAAGCCCGGCTGGCAGCGGCAGGAGTAAGAGTAGGAGTTGATTGGGAGGCAGGTACCATGGATACACCTGTACGGTGGAGGAGGGTGAGGATGGAAGGTGAAGAAGTGAATGTATCATAGATGCTCTTTGGAGTCAGCAGCCTAAAATGCTGAAATTGTACTATATACTCATACAAATGCTGTCACCTCCCAACCCTGGTGCATACATAACAGCATGACAAACACTCACTTGTTGCCATCGCAAGGGTTGCTGACTTGCTGGTCGCACAGCGTTCCCGTCCAGCCCGGGTGGCAGGTACAGGTGAAGCCGCGGTGACCCGTTGCGTGGCAGTCGCCTTGGACACAGGCGCCTCTCTGGCAGGGCTGGCAGCCCGGCTCCACCCCCTGACCTAGCCACTGCCTGGTGGTGCTCTGCGGAGCCCCCGAGCCTGAAGCCCCTGGCTCCAGCCCGGCCCCCAGGTCCTGGAGCTTCCCGTTGATGTAGAGGTTACGCAGGCAGCCGTGGAAGCTGGTGCCGTTGCGGCCACCGGAGCTGTGCTGCAGGGCCGAAAGACCCCCAGTGGCCGAGGCACGCTCTGGCATCCCTGCACGAAGAGAAGCGCAATTACAAGTCAGAGCATGTTTGAGATATTATCTATGTAGACGTCAGAATCAATTATTGTTTGTCCTGGTGTGCTGACAGATGTACAAAACAATCACAGAAACTTAAAATCTGCTATAAAGCAACCAATAAACAACAGACTAAAAATGTGGCACGTATGCTGCTGTGTTTAAGAAAATCGGTAGTTTATGTTTTCCTTGTGAAGTCATGCAGTTGTCAGGCCCATTTAAGGGACAAAAGCATGCTGCTGTCTCTCAGCACCTTCGATGAGCAAAGTGAATTCTGGTAGATTAATCGTAGCAACTGGACTTGCTTGAGTTCCTTGAAGACGTTTCACATCTGATCCAAGCGGCTTCATCAGTTCTGACCGACTAGTTGGGAGATCCAGATACTTATATTCTTAAGGAGCCATTAGCACCTGAGCTAATACAACCGCTACACAAGCGCATGGCTCAACACAGAAGAGCCAGCTCCTCAGGACAGGACTCAGCAGTCCGCCTGCATCTCAAGGACAAAGGACACTCATTCGAAGACAACAATGTACAGATTTTGTCCAGGGGGGACAGATGGTTTGAGAGAGGGGTGAAAGAAGCCATCTATGTCAAACTGGAAAGACCATCCCTCAACAGAGGTGGAGGTTTGAGGCATCATCTCTCACCTGTTTACAATTCAGTCCTAAGATCTCTCCCCACGAAGATGAAACTACATTCACACCTAGCCACAAAAGACCCTAGCGAACCCCTTTGTGGCAGGGGGAGTGCTAATGACCCATATAACGAGGGGGAGGAGCAACAAACCCCCAATTGAAACCGAAACTCGGGTGTTAATGGCTCCTCAGGATGTAAGTATCTGGATCTCCCAACTAGTCAGTTAGAACTGATGAAGCCTCTTGGATGAAAGGTGAACCGTCTTCAAGGAACTCAAGCAGGTCCAGTTGCTACGATTAATCTACCAGAATAACCATGACCTGGACGGCCGAGAATCTTCACAGACATGAGCAAAGTGAATGTGCTTTAGCAAAACTTATAATATGATTAAAAGTACTTTTAGTGATATTTGTGTGTGCTTTAAATTTCAAATAACCTAAAAACTCCTATTTTCGGCTGTCAGCAGGATAACTTTTGGAGATCAATGATCTGAATGAATAAATATGCAAAATTGTAGTGGTACACAAAAAAAAATAAAAAATTAAATAAAAAATAGTTTGAGAAATGCATTTAAAAAAAAACAACTACTGCTCTTTTGTTGTAACATATTTATCATACATTCCCAACAATGCGGATCAGGCGCATTGCTTAAACTTTCCTTTTCTTTTTCTTTTTTTTTCTGTGTCTTTGCAACTGTCTTCACTAAACTACACAGTACCTGTTGCACAGTGTGTTCGGGTCCTTACCTCCCAGGTAAAGAGGAGAATCTATGTTGAGTGTGGACTGTTTGTTGATGGAGTTGATGGATTTGGGCGGCCCGCCATCGATGGACAGAGACAGAGTCTGGTCCGATGCTACTAACTCCACCGCATGGAAACTACCATCATTCACTGTCTCCACGCTGCGAGAGAGAGGACGGAGGAATTCAGTCTGAGCATTTGTATCATCCATCATGTGAATGTGGCGTCAGGGGGCGTGCCGTTTCTGCTTGCATGTGCATGTACCTGTATATAGCAGAAGGAGGATAGGATCCGGTGTCGTAGCTGACCCTTAGACGTCCCCTGTACAGTTCCATGGCAATGTGATCGTTGTCCCCCTTATACAACAAAACGCCAGAGTCCTCATCTGTAGCAATCTGAAAACACAGCAGGAGCTCCATGTAAGTGACCTGATGTCGAGCAGTGAAACATGAACTCAGATCTGTTACTGTAAGTACAAGTGCCAGTAAAATACACTCAACCCTCTGAACCCCGAACAATTTATGGGTATTTTTTGCTTCTGTCACATTTGAACTCACTGTGGGTTCATTTTTCACTGCAATATAAAGTTCTGCACCTCAATGGAAACAGCACTAGAAGTAAAGAGAACTCAAACATTCATTTTGTGCAGTATAAAAAAAGCCATAAATCATAAAAAGAGAAAAAAAGTTTAATTTCTTCAAAAAAAAAACAAACAAAAAATAACAATTCCGAAAATTGAAAACTTGGAACCAACATGTATAACATTTTCCCAAGTGCCCACATGTGTTACCAATACTGAAAAGAAATTTTCCCACACACCGCAACAGAGATGATTAGTTCAAGGACTGTCAGAAACTTGAAATTCTGACAATGCTTTCTGTTTTTACAGTTCACCTCCTGATGCTCTTTAGCTGCTAAGTGCTCCGTTATGTTCACCTGCTGGTTACTGTGACTGTCTGTCTACGAGAGCCTGAGTTCAAGTGAAACAACACAGTGAAGTTATAAAACTCCATAAAGCTGAGCTTCAGATCCCTCTTGATAATTCTCTGTGGGTGTGTGAACCCTTTTACAATGTCATCTGATACATTGTTATTCTAAAAAAAATACTACTTATAGTTGCTTTAAAATATGACGTAAAAGTGCTCATTGTGCAGGTTAGTGGCCCCTGTGACTTATGTATTACATTACTGGACTGTATGTACAACAGAATTTTAGTGCTTGAATTAGAGCTTGTTTGAAAAATTTGATATAAAGTTTGGTATTTTATTTGAGGTGTTCTCTGCCTCGAGGACTGGCCTCCTAGAAAAGGATCATGATCTACATTTTAAGGGATCATGATAGGATTAACTCTCTGAAACCTCAAAACCTGCTCGCCAGTTTAAAAGGCATGTTGCCTTTATAAAAGAATTCCACCATTTGTTCAGATTTCGAACTTTAAGACTTCAACTACTCATCTGCAGCATGATAATTTAGTCAGGAAATTTAAGCAAATCTTGGCTTAAAACTGTGACATTTCAGCAGCATCACTTCACATATCACATTTAAAAATTCACAAATAAGCAATGGTTTGCTCTAACCAGATCCTGAAAATAAATAAATAAATACAATTCTACACGCCACAGCACAACCATGAACCTGTAAGTAAGTCAGCTCTGACCAGAAGTCACATAACAAAAAAATCGGACATTTTTGTTGAACTGCAGGCTGTATTTACACAGAAAAGAGAGGAGACAAGTGTGAATGCAAGTTAAACATTTAAGCAGTAAAATATATGTAGTATGTAGCAATGCCTTGGGCACTTCCAAGCACTTATCCAGATGGTTTTCTCCTGACTAGATCCTTGCTTGTGTTGTATCCCCTCTTAGATACTTTGGATAAAAGCATCTGCTAAATGAAATTGTATAATTGTATAATTTTTTAATTTGTGTAAAATGTGAGAGGAGCAAAAAAAAAAAAAAAAAAAGCTCAGGAAAACTGCTTGTGGTTCAGAGTTTTTTTTTTTTTTGCATGCATATCCATTAAAACAAAAAAAAAGTATTTCTCTCTTTGCTTTATTGTGAAATGTTGGATCATTTGTGCCTCAAAAATAAAGAATTCTATCATTAGATTACATGAAACCATGTGAGACGGTTAGTCTGCTAACAGCCAGAGACATCGAACACATGACAATAATTTCTGTACAGGGCCACAAACCAAAAAAGTAGTTAAACCCTGGTTTAATATATGGAGTGAAAACTAATGATTTCATCTGAAGTAGAAATAAAAAGCAGCATGAAGTGAAACTACAGGACACAGAAAAGAGTTTTTAGCTGAGCGTGTACCTGTAGGCTGATGTTGGTCTGTGGGGAGAGCAGGCTGGAGGGAAGCTGCAGGTACGACTCGCGGTTGACAAAGTTGACGCTGACTAGCGTCTCGCAGCGCTCGCCTTCGTAGCCGTGGAGACACTGGCAGCGGGGGTCCGTTCCCACGACGACGCACTGTGCCCCATTCAGGCACTCGTGGTTGTCACAGGGACTGGTGCGAGGAAGCACCATCGGGGGAGAGAACTCGCAGAACAATCCGCTGCAACACACAAATTCACATCGAATATAGTAAATTCAACTGAAGCTTGAACACACAGAGTGCTCTTAACAACCTGTTTAATATTTCTTGATTGTAATCCATTAGTGTTGATATGTTGTCATCATTTTTCTCCTTTTATTTCATGATTATTGTCAAATTGTGGTAAAGAGACACTCATCTTTGCTGCTTTCAAATACAGCTGAACTGAGATTTGAAAACAAACAGGACTTTTAAAGAGAAATCAAACCCTGAATACACCATCAGGTGAAAAAGGGTTTTAAGATATTTAAAGTTTGTCCTCCCAAACTAGATTGTGTCCTTCTCAGTACCTGACAGTGAACACAAGGGGGAGCTCCTCCAGTATCATATACACATTAATGGTGGCCTATGGGGGAGAAATGCTTTTCTTGGCCAACATAGCAAACATCAAAGCACATTAAAGACAAGGGGTCAAACAAATGTTGACACTTCAATTTGGAAAAGTCACCAATTAAAAACAATTTAAATCTGGTTGAAATCTCTCCAATGGAAGCAAAAAAAACCCCTCAGTATTTAAAAAAGAAGTTGCCATCCACTGCAAAAATACTGTCACATGCACAGTTGGTGAAGAGAATAACAGTACAATGAAATGTTCAGCATGTGTGAGCTCCTGCTGGGACGTGCAGCTCACCTGTATCCCTCTGGACAGACGCAGGTGTATCCATTCACAGCATCGATGCACTGACCTCCGTTCTGACACTTGTTCTCTTCGCAATCGTCGTAGTCCAGCTCACAGTGTTCACCCACGTAACCTGGCGTGCAATCACACCTGAAATGCGCAAACACACAAACTTGTGTTGATGCTGGACTTTAATTTGCTCTTTGTGACGAAACAATCTGTAAGGAAAACATATCAGTTCCATCTTGATCCAGACAGTCTGGAGAGACACTAGACAACACACACGTACACACAATTTTGATTTTAACATTATGTTTCCATCATAATCTTTGATGAAGAGCAAACACACACAGCACACACACACACACACACACACGCACACACACGCACACACACAGAGGCACAAATGCATTACACTGACCAGAGTACACATTACTAGGAAGGAAAACTAAAACAAGGTTTAGATAAAATCTGACCAGAAACCTTATACATGTGAGGGAAACCACCACACTTGTTACACCTTTCCCCCCCCTCACGCACGCACACACGCACGCACGCACACGCACACGCACATACACACACACACACACACACACACACACACACACACAGCGCTTGTCTCTACACGTCATGAATGTGTGAAACAAGAAACATTGGTAACTCCACTAGCTCTGCATTTAAGCATTGTCCTCGTGTGTGTATGTGTGTGTGTGTGTGTATATGTGTCCGATCCACTCACTTGTATCCTTGAGGGGTCAAAATGCACTTTGAGTCGTGCTGACACGGGTTCAGCTCTGGGGCGCAGAAGTCCAGTTTCTCTTCACATAGTTCCCCTAGGAACACACACACACACACGCATGCACGCACACGCACACACACACACACACACACACACACACGCAAGGATCATCTCAACACCTTTTCAGTATTACTTAACATTAGCGATAAATAGTGAAATTATAATACGAAACACGTCAATATTTTCCACCTCTAACTTCCATACAGTGTGCTTCTTCTGTGTTTGTGTGTTTGTGTGTATATTGCACGTTTGTGTCTGTGCTGCACGCAGTGAAGTGTGTGTGCATGTGTGTCTTTGTTGTATTGGTGTTTGCTCTGATGATGGATGACTCTCTTGTGGCCAGGACCAACACAGTGGTCTGATAAATGATCTCATTGCTGGGAATGTCATATTCCTGATGATATTCCACAGAGTATCCTGACGCTCCCCAAACTCTGAACTCCAAATGAATCACTGATGAGGCATCGGGGGAATAAACCAATACTCCTGACAGCAGAAAAAGTCCACTCACAATAATTACACGACCCCTCAGGGATCAAAGATAATGGGTGTGAATCGATGGGAGACCTGTGTTTGCATGTTTGTGCTTTTTAGCTTCTATTTCTGTAGCAATGTCACAAATTTGCTTAAGACATTTTTATTTTTATCTGAAAACCCTCACGTGGCGTCCTCTTTTCCTGGCCTCTTAGATTTGCACATGTTTTTATACTGGACGGACTTAATTAAAGACAAAACAGTTGTCATTAAGAGAATGCAGATTTGTATTTAAAAAAACTGTGATTTGCTGATTATTTGTTTACTTTTATGGAATTTACTTCATGCAAGTGTGTGTTGTTACACTCTGTATATCGTGTTACAGGTTGGCCACAAACAATATTGACAGAGACTGTATTAGTTAAAGTGATACACTGCAAAGTATATATTTGGGTTGCAATTTAGGCTGCAGACAGCAGAACACGTTGTGTGTACTTCTATCCCTCATTGTGCGATATCATATAACATTTATTCTGAAAATAAGACTTTGTGTGTTTTTCTTAATGTAAACAAATCCGAAGAAAAAAACAAAATGAACAATGAGCTGATCCTGTTAAAACTTAATCGTCTGTGCCTCCAGATAGCTTAAAAAAAAAAACGAAATTAAAAATGTGCTGACATTATAATGAACACACGTTATTTTCTGTCTATCGTACAGGCAATCATGTAAACGCTCAGTGCACCGCGAAGTCTGCAGCTGAAAATAGTCGCCACCAAACACACTATTTGCTCCTGTTTGAGTAAAGTTTGATAAGAGCTACAGTGCAGCACTGTTTTGAGAAATTACTGAGGCTTTTTAAAAAAATGAAAGTGTACATTTGTGACCGCTTTAGAGGAATAAACAGGCTTCAAGCAGGCTGGACGAGGACATAAAGCGCTGTGAGACGGTAGAACTTGTTTGGTTTAAGGCTTTCAATAGGATGCTTTGAAATTTACAAAAATATTGAATATTGCCAGCACCCTCCTCTAGGGTCAACCTGGAATGGCTGTCCCATGTATGCACGAAGCAGCGGAGCAGTATAACCATTTGAGAGGACGAATTGCAAACTCAAACGTCTGTTTGTACATCAAAGACATGCACTGCTAACATGGAGCATGACTGCATACAGTCGGTTAAATCTGTGGTGCTGGGTATCAAATTTCTGGGGCGCACGGATAAAGCACAGGAAATGAGGGAAGTCAGGAATGGAAGTAAGGAAGGAAGGAGAGAAGGACGGAAAGCACAGAGAGAAGAACAGACTAACCTCTCTCCACCTCATTGGTAGCAGCTGCAACCACAAAAAAAGATGACAGATGATAGAAAGCAGAGCGAGACGGGAGAAAAGACACAGGACGGCAAAACATAGAAAGACAGAGAGAAAACACCGCCACAAAGGTTAGCAGTCAGAGGTGATTAGCACAGTGCAAAAGCTGACAAACATGTAGCAACAGACCAGTGTTAGTCAGATAAAAAAGGATTTGTCTGCAGTTTATGACCGTAAAGATGCTTTTTAAATCAGTGTATGCAAAGTGAGTCGTAGTTGTGGAGATATTTCAATAACTCTCGCTCTGGCAGTAAAAGTTCCATTAATTTTCCTATGAACAAATTGAAGTGAATTTAAGTTGAATCAGTTTTAAAATTCAGATTTAAAAATGTGTAAGAAAACATCTGGTTTTCAGTTGAAAAGTTGAGGAGAAGAAACCTTTATGTGCCACAAATACCATACAGCACTGTGAAAGTCGCTTTTTGTATATCACAGTTGGGATTAGCCACGATAAGGTTCCTTCTGGAGTAGCTGGGGTTAAGGGCCTTGCTCAGGGGCCCAACAGCAGCAGCCGGGGCTTCAACCATCAACCTTTGATCAGTAGTCCAGAGCCTTAACCTTCAAACCACCATCTTTCGTGTCCATCTGGTTAACTATGACTCTTGAGGTGAAAACTGAAAACTCAATCAGCAGCTTTAATCAGTTTTAAATTCTGGACCAGTTCTAGATGATTCCAGTGACTATGGTGCTCCGTTTTGTTTTCAACTGATCTGACTCCTGCCTCTTCTCTGTGGCAATCGAGCCTTACAGTTTTGATATATTTACATATTTATAGGATTCCAACATGTCAACTGACCAACAAAACAAAGTCAAATTGATAAAAACTGACGGCTGGAACACAACTCTAAAGGAGAGTCCTGCGTTTCCGTGTTTAGCGTCATTAAGGACGTCATTTGAATAAAACGGTGACAAAGAACGGTGGGAAACACGTCGGCATCCAGCATGCGGTTTGTAAACTGTGTTACCTGTGTATTCTGGCGAACACATGCATGTGTAGTTGTTGATTCCATCGACGCAGGTGGAGTTGTTCTCACAGTCGTTGTCTTCACAGTCGTCGATGTTGATCTCGCAGGCGTCGCCTTCGAAGCCCTCAGGACACACACACCTGAGATTGTACACACACATCCAAAAGTAGGGAAGATAAACACAAGTGGGGTCACATACAGAACAGGGCTGCAACTAGTATTATTTGAATCTGCTGATCATTTTCGTGATTGACTGATTATTTATTTGGCCAAGAATGCCTGAAAATAGTAAAACACGCCTGCAACATTTTCAAACAATCCAGTTTAATGTTTATAAATGTCATGCTTTAATTTCCCATCAGCTCAAATCTCAAAAGTGTTGAATTTACAGGAAACAACTGCAAAATTTCAACCACATTTGAGTGTCTGCGATTAGCAAATATCTGGCGTTTTTGCTCGAAAAGTGAAAAATTGTCGTTGGATTTTTAGAACAGTTGGCAATTAATATTCTGTGAATTTAGCTAATTCACAAATCATTGCAGCTCTGATAGAGAACAAGTCCAAGTGTTGGGGACCTCTGGATATCAAAGACAAACTATACGTGCACACAAACACACACACAGACGCTATTCATGCATGCAGCTCATAACAGCAGTGTCAGCTCCATCTACATATCCCCAGTAGAGAGTCATTATTCTGTTAACGTGAGCGTGCCTCAACTCCGTAACTACTAGTCAGGTTTATTACTGCGCACACACGCACACTTACACACAACATTCAGAGTGCTATATTATGGGTCTAATAAAGGGCTCTTATGCGGCACACACTCGGGTGGATTAATATCTCATTATATAGTCAGCGACAGCTCTTCACAATGAATATTCCACCTCCTACACCGGAGAAGGAAAAGAAAGCATACAAAGATGGAAATACAGACACACGGGGAAAGACTGACGGGAAATAGTGACAGAAGAGACGGAGAGAGGGCAAGGAAAGAGATAGAGGAAGAGAAACAGGAGGAGCTGTGATCTTCGTCGGTCTAATTGTCTGTGTGGGTGGTTAAAATGTGCTTGGAGCAAGCAGAAAGGCGTTAGCTCCCCTCCTGTTAATACTAAACAGCCTAATGAAGAGAAGACAATCTTCGCAGCGGGGCTGTCCACCTCAGAGACGCTCTGAAAACAGAACCGGTCCCCTGAGCCATTTACCTCCTGTAAATTCATTGCCACCTCTCATTAGTGGTGCAGCATCACAGATGGAGGTATCAGCTGAAGGTCCGCAGATCGCCTGCTTTGTCTTCCAGTGTGTTCTCAATAATCACTTGATATCTGGTGCGTGATGTGTGGAGCTCTGCATGATTCATCACGTCTTTGTTTTTGAATGGGGCCTGAAGGTTTGTGCTAAAACGGTTAATTTTTAGGTAAACGTAAAGCAATATTCGGGTTTTTATTTTGGTAGCAGCAGCCATCAGCTTCATCAGTTCTGATTTACTGCAACCGCATGAACAACCAGTGTTTCATGTTTATATTCACTTAACAGTTATTTTGAAGAATAAACATGAGCATAAAAGTTGCTTTTTGTCATCTTGTGTGGATAATTTCTAGCTCTACAAGTAAAATTCTAACTTTAACTGTTGTGTGCACTTAGTGTTGCTTTCACTTGTATATAGATGGTTTCCATAACTGGCTCCATCTTTAAAGTCACCACTGGACCTGAAGTAACTTAAAAAAGTACTCGACTGGGCACTTAAATGTCAAAGGGGCTCTGCAACGATTAGGTTGGGAAGCTCACAAGAGACAGATCAAAAACAAGAAGTGCCAACAAAACTGATTCAACAGAGGTCACGACGTTGCAATTCGTTAGTATGGCTCAAATGCCAAAAACACTGACTTCTACATTTCCCATAATGCAGCTCAAAATCATCCAGCCTCTTAGAGAAAAGCTCAAGTCTATCAAATCTCCACAACTGGCCTTTCGTTGAAAAAAAAAGCCTCAGCCAGTTTCATCACCACAGTTCACACTTTAGAAACCTTCCTCCCGAACCACAGAGGACGTAACACACACTCTTGTCAGGTTGAGCAGTAATTCTTAAGGACAAGTGAGCAGATTTTTGTGTAAAATTAGTTAAAGGTTAACAGCTAAAACTAATCATGATGTAAAAGAAAAAAAAAGTAGATATTTGGAAAGTCTCACCAGAAGTTGCTCCCTTCTCCTTCCTTCAGATGGCAAGTTCCTCCGTTCTGGCAGGGGTTACTGATACAGGCGTGAATTGGCTCCTCACAGTTTTGGCCCTGCATGCAAATACAAACACACACATGTTCAGTGCTTCCTATAACTGCCAAGTATTGCAGCAGCTGTCTCTTCACTCAGAACCTTCTCAAATGTATTTGTCTGGCTAAAGCAGGGACAAAGTCTTTCTATGTCGGTGTACGTTTGTACCGTAAACGAGTGCGGAAAGATAAAACAGGTTGTATTCATCTGCTCAAGGGCCCATCCTTAAGGTGTTAACACCCCTGAGCACTAAAATTCAGGTTTGAAGCCATGATTGTGCTATTTCCATAGATGTGCAGGACTTTGTACTGCAGTGGAAAATGAGGCCACAGTGAGTAAAAACTGTGAAAGGAGAACAAAATGCACAGAAACTGCTTGAGGTTCAGAGGGTTAAATTGATAACTGGAGGAAAAAAGCAGTTTTCTACACCAGTTTGAGGTTAAGAAAAGAGGCCTGAGCAGGTGATTAGCACCCTTTAAGCTGTCCATGGCATGTGTACCTTAAATCCATATGGGCAGGTGCAGCGGTAGTAGTGAACGGGGTCATTGGCGCATGTGCCGTCGTTCTTGCAGGGGCTGGACAGACAGGGCTCACATTTAGCCTGGATACTCATATCCACTGGGCCTGTGTGATGCAGCAACCAACACAAACAAGACATACACACAAGAGAGATAATTAACATTATGCAATAATCTGCATTTAGGGGAGTAAGACGAGTTAGAATCGCATACACTCGGACGACTGTACATTGTTAGGGATCTGCGTACGCTTTAAATGTCATCTTTTTCTACAGAAGGGTGGTTGTTTGCCCTGTGGATGTATGTGTTGTTCTGAAATTCCAATTTGAATAATAAAGAAACTATAGAAGTATTGGTTATGTGTTAGAACATATTTAGTTTGATAATTAATGGACAATCAGTCAGTGATAAAGTAAAAAGCATAATGTTAGCATAGAATTTGGTAAGAAAAGGCTGTGTAACTGTTTGAAGCAACCTTGCAGATATGATCCTGGGTTATAAATGACAAAGATGACATTTTCATTGCAAGACCACAGCATGTACAGAAGACACACATATCCCCAACTGTGATGACAGGACATTTAACAGTGAGAACGCACGATGCTGGTCAAAACATGAGGGCTGAGAGGGAAGCAGTTCAGTTCGATCAGGGCTCACAGGATGGAGGAAAACTGGGCTGGGAACGTCTCAAACTGGGAAATTAGGGATTGAAGAGAAAGTACTGGGATATGATTGGCTACTTTACCTGGCACCAGAAAACCACAAGGCCCGGGGACTTCTACAGTGCGTCAGTTAGATTAGGTCAAAAATAGGTTTCAGTCATGTATTCAGAGTTAATGCGATATAATAAGGTTTAAAGGTTAAGGTCAACAGTCAGTAGCATTTTGTAGTACGACACGTTGCAGCCACAGTCATGCTCAAGCAAAGTGTGATATGAGGCTGATTTAATTTTCCTTGGAGAAATTCTTGTTTTCTGGGATTTGCACACATTTTTATTAGACAGCAATAAATTTGTAAATGGCAACTTGTGATCTCCTCTAGGAGTCCTCGTCAAGTTTCTGTTTGTTTGTTAACACAACACAATAATCGTTTCCTGCAAAGTATGTGTGCAAATGGTTTTGTTTTTGGACACCCTCTGAACCCCAAAACTCACCTGTGGGTTTGAAAAGTATGTTGTTTTTTTTCCCATAAATTGCCTAAAGTACATCATTTATCAGAGCTAGAAACAAAAAACAAAGAATTGTTGGATTTTTAACTTCCCAGTAATCCTTGAACTGCTCAAGGATGTGTTTGTCAAGAAAATTAATCGCACCTAAACTCAAAATCTAATTTAAAAATTACCCAAAAATGAATCATGTGGTCTAATTAGATTCTGTAAAAAAAAAATAAAAAATAAAAAATTCTGAACTCTTCAATGCAACTGTGAAGCAAACAACGGTTCATGTATGACCAACAGTCACATAACAAAAATTCTGGGACTTTTTGGGCTGGACTGCAGGTTGTGTTCACACTGAGTAGACATGAGAAAAGACAGGAAACATGTTAAAAATGTTTGTACCTGTAGTATATTTGTTTGTGGAATTTTAACTTTTTTATGGTTCAAAAAAGACATTTTTGAGAAATCGCTCCTTCTAGCCATTGTTGTGCTGTTTCTGTAGAGATCGGGGACTTTATATTGCAGTGAAAAATGAGTCCACAGTGAGTAAAAATGTAACAGGATCAGAAAGCGCCCAATAAAGTGTGTGGGATTCAGAGGGTTAAAGTATATTTAACCAACAGCTGTGTTTCTGAATGTGTTTAACTGCTGGTATGTGTGTGTGTTCCTGTGCTGTAGTCCTGTAGTGTGTGTTTACCTGTGCACGTGAACTTCTTGGAGGGTGTGGTGAGGAGCAGTTTGTCTGTCATGTCACCGGGCCCAGCACAGCGAGCAATGCCAGGCTCCTTGTAGCCACTCTTCACCCAGTCTGACAGCCACTGCATGTGGCAGTCACAGTACAGAGGGTTGGCACCCAGAGCCCTGCCAGTCAAGGAGAAGTGAGAACACAGTTTAGTCATATTAAGTGAGAGCTCAGGAAAATGTAATCGTTGTAGTACAAAGCCGAAATACCAGCATTACTGACTCTATACCTCCTCTGTTCCATTCATTTCTGTTGTAAAATATGTAATGTACAGTGTATGAAGTGTGTAAGTTCATTGAAAGAAACTAAATAAGGGGTCAAATTCCTTCTTTGTATTCACGTTTGGCCAATAAAGTTGATTTTGATGACAAAGTTGTAGCCATGACAGTATAGACAATGCCTCAGATGTGCATTCTGCTACGAATTCTAATTTGTGAATTTTCCACACACTTCAACCCAGCAGCACATATCTATGCAATCAGTTCAGTATTTGACCAAATGTGAAATATGATCACCGTCTCCCCTGTGTTACGATGTTGTATAACGGCCAGATTAGTGTTTTGGTTAAAATTTAATCTCAAATTGAAGCTGACCTTTGACCTTTTGTATAAGTCTACCATGTCTACTATATGTTTACAAATGTGATGTGTTCAGAGCTCCATCTAACAGGATATCCCTTTCCACATGATTTAAACGTGCAGCCCTTTGTGATAAACAGTCAGTTTCCTTCATACACGCGTCTCTGACTGATCTGCTGTCGTGGTCAGAAAGGAGCTTACAGTCAGTCACAGATTTGTTGTTGTGTGATATTACTCATTTTCTGTGGCCTGCAGTCTTTAGAACTTGTAAAAAAAAAAAAGCAACAGCCTGTGACAAGAGCTCTCCATGGTGCTGATGTTCGTGAGCGTCCAGTGTGGACACAGTTACTTCCTCGCTGTCCTTCCCATCAGCAGGTAACTCTGGTGTCATCCTTCATTTCCGTCCACGAACACACTGCTCTCTATACAAACTGCTTATTTTTGTGATAACGTGCCTTAAATACACTATCAGTAAACTCATGTCAGAGCAAAGTAACAGTTTTTCAGTGTATGAAGCCAGTCTTTTAGTTCTTAGTTACATCAGTTTATTATGTTCGACAAGAGTCTTCTGAGTTATATGCTTCTTGTCAGAATATGTCTTTATGACATTCTCAATTTATGACTTTCTGCACCGGAGTCCTCCCCACAGTGGGACTGGAGTTTTTGTATAAACTGATTTTGCAGTAAATCAGTTTAACAGATTTCCTTCAAAATCCATTTTTCAGAAGCTAGAAGAAACGGCTTTGCTGTTTTAGCTGCAAGGAATAAAAGATACAGAACTGCTCAGAGGATAAAGGTTGCTGTATTAAGAACCACTTGATTTAGACAGTAAATATCTGGATCTATCAGTTACATTCAGGGTTTAGGTGCAAAATCTACATTTAGCATAGGCGTGAAGGAGAGAAAAGTGGACTTCAGATGACTTTGTTGCTTGGTAGCCCCATTTGTCTCATTAAACAGACATTTTCTTTTTGGATGATGATGACAAAAGTGGTGATGGTGTGTTTTTTTATACATCCATCCTCACTAGGGTCACGGGGGGGCTGGAACCTATCCCAGCTGACTTAGGGCGAAGACAGGGGACACTCTGGACAGGTCGTGTTTTCCTTAATCTTGCAATTTTACATGTCGAAAAGGCAGAATTAAGAAAGACAAGAACAACGATGTTGGTGTGTTACTCACAGGTGGGAAAGCGATGATAAGTCTTTGAAGGCTCCCTCAGGTATCAGCGATATGTCGTTACCATGGAGAGACCTAAGAAAAGGTGAGAGACACAGGAAGAAAGAGAACAAGGGCAGAAAGAGGCAGCAAAAGAGTCAGCATGGTAAAAACCTGGATCGTCTCTTTAACACCAGTCTGAGTCGAGACTGCATTCACAACGTTTGTTAGCGTGAGGACGTGTCGGTATGATACTCACAGCAGACGAAGAGATTTGAGTCCATCGAAGGCCCTGACCGGTATGCATCGGAGGCGATTGTAGCTCAGGATTCTTTACATACAGAATTAACATGTTGGCATGGAGACAAATGCAGAATTTTTTTTTTTCTTTTAAGACAACTTCAAATGCAGTGAGACATTTCAGAGCACAGTCCTGTTTATGACATCTGACTGAGATAAGCCGGCAAAACAGCAAACACAGACACACAGTTTAACACACCCACGTACGTGACTTACAAGCTCAAAAAAACCCAGCATGTTTTCCCTGTTTATCTGATTTTTTTGTGCATGCTGTTATTTTTCTGGGCTGCTTCAGTTTTTTTTAAGACAAAGCATTTGTGCTGAATGTTGGGACATCGTTTACATTTAAGTCAAATTTAAATGAAAACACAACTTGTGGATGCAAAAAAACATGTACTGTATTGCCCCCTCCTTGGCTGTTTTTTAAATTTTTTTTTATGTCCCCATATACTAATAAAAATGTATTTTTTGTAGTAGTTGCATGAGGTCAACATTTTCTTGTACTGTTGGTTGTGCATGGTGACAACATTTTCAGCTTCCTCAGTTGCAACAAAAACAAACAACAAAATCTTTTTTTTTTTTTTTGGGAACACTGTACTCAATGATTCCCACGAGGCACCAACGGCCCGGGCGGGACACTATTTATGTGTGACACCTCAACAAAAGAAGCTCCTTTCCTGGATTTTTGCTTTTATTCTTTCAAGGGCATCTTCCCCCTGAACACACACGCAGTTACAAATACACAAATACAGTCAGTCACACACACACTCACGCACGCACGCACGCACTGCAAAGGGACTGATGTAAAGCCAGACTCACAGGGTAAGCAGCTCGGACATGTTACTGAGGCTGTGGTTGGACAACGTGCTGATCTGGTTGTTACTCAAATCACTGAAAAGGAAACAACAACAGATACATAAAACACACACACAGGCAGCACTGTCAACACATGCGTGAAACAAATCTACACACGCAGACTGTATGCAGAACATTAACACTCCTCTGTACTGTACTCAGACTGTCACGCCAAGAAACTCTGACAAGAATATCAGTCTGTTAGTTCTGGTCTTTAAATGCAGAGAGCAGGAAACACAGGCCAAGTCACATATAATTATATGTAGCGTGTGATTGACCGTACAAAGCCTTAACGTCTTGGTGTGCAGTATCGGTCTGTTGAGCTCATGTGAGTGAGACTTACATGAGTGTTAAGTGTTTGTAATTGGAGAGCTCCACAGGAACCTGAGTGAAGTGATTACCGTCCAAATACCTGTGAGACAGACAGACAGACAGAGAGGGAGAGAGGTGGATTGGAAACAAAAGAGAAAGGGAAAACATGGGAAAATCATGGAAGATGTAAAGGAGAGTTGGGAAACAGAGGGGGAGAAAGTGAGAAGGGAGAAAATGAAGTTTTAGCCATGTGGGAAATTCCTCGTATTCAGCAGTGTGAGCAGTCATTACTGCTACAGCCATAATAAACACTGGAGTTTAATATCCCCACAGGCGTCTCACACACCCACACACACACACACACACGCACGCGTGCGCACGCACACGCACGCACACGCACGCACACGCACGAGTGAGATCCGATCTCCTTCACTTTGTGACAATGTACTGTTAATTCGTCGTATTAATTAAGTCTTTGTTAATACTGGAAGAACCATGTTCCCCAGTGGAAAAACTGTGAAATGATAAAAAATACTGCAAAGTCTGTGGCCTGATGTTTAATTTACGGCTATAAATCACCGGGGATTTATTGCGTAGGATTTTGTGTGTGTGTGTGTGTGTGTGTGTGTATTTGTGGATATGTGGTTCTTCTCTTAAATATTCCTGTGTGAGCCTACAGTTTGTAAACCTATGTCTCTGCATGTCTCTGTTGGGTGTTGGGTCTCAAATGGGTTTTTTGTTTTCACCTGTTTTCTGATCACATAGAGCTCCGGTTAAAACATTGATTCAAGTGAACAATGTAATAAGTTTTTCTAAAGTCAAATAATAGCATGCAAAGGAAGCAGCTCAGTGTGAAGTAGGGTCTTGTTTTTTTTTTTTTTGTTTTTTTTTTAGCTCTGTCTAAGTTCTACTGAAGCGTTTGTCCTTTTAATCCACTGTGACTCCGACCTCTACTGTGGCTTTACTCTGCCCAGGACCAGCAGGTGGACCAGTCTCACTAACAGTAGGCTCCGTTCCCCTGCTCAGTGTAGCTCTACATGGCTGTAGCAAAACCACAGAACTTCTTTTTTAAGGCATCTGATGATGTTGCTGATCTCATCGACCCAAAAACAAGGCCAGATTGATAAAGAACAAACGTTTCAAAAGGAACAAGGAGTCCTGAAGGAGATAGCTTAGTTCCCACTGACATCATCAAGTCTGTCATGGAATTACATGAAGAGACTGGGGACCTAAAGCCATAGTAGAACTTCTCCAAGATGCAGAAGCATTTTTAAAAATGGTCATGTAGACTGCTTTTCAGCCACAAATGTATTACCTACATAAATGCAAACCATCACTGTCCAAAGACAACTATATGGCTCTGTTCAACATTATGTCTATGAGGTGAGATCATTGACTTCTATATCCTCTGAACCTCAAAACCAACAGTGGGTTTTAAAGGCACCTTTTCTCTAAAAAGAAAAAAACAGAGGCAAAATACACTACTTATGGGACCCTGAAACTGTCAAAAAAGAAAGATGATCAACGCTCTGATTGTCATTGGATTACTCATCTGTCATGTCTTGTTTTGTTTCGTTAAAAATCTTGAAAAAAAATCATCCATAAAATCATGATTTTTCATTAAATTCTTCAAAAAAAAACTAAAATTTATGCTCCACATATGGGAAGCCATTAGTAACTCAGCTGCAACCACCAGTTTCATGACAAAAATTCGGGGCCTTTTTTGGTTGGGGTGGAATAAACTGCAGGCTGTGTTTACACAGAGCAGACAGAAGACAAGTATGGAAACAAATTAAAAAGGTAAGGAGTCAAATATTTATAGTATGTAGATTCATCATTTTTTCCAGTATTGGTAATATCTGTGGACACCTGGAAAAATGTTAAACCTTCTGATTCCAGGTTTTGCTAATTTGTTAAAAAGTAATCTAAGAAATTCAAAGAAAAAAAATCTTACATTTTATGGCAAATATAACTTTATTATATTGCACAATAGAGGTGCAGAGCAGGTGAAAAATGAGTCTGAAAGTTAGCAAAAGTTAGTGACATGAGCAAAAAAAGCCCAGAAAATTCGATGTTTTAGAGATACAGGTTTAAATAAGGTCTTGTCTGAGGAACATAAAGGGTAGTCAGGTTAAATGAGACTTTCCTAATCTTTATACCAAATGGTGTGTTGGTCCTAAACTCACAGTTCAGTGGTTTCTTTGGGAAGGCCTTTGGGCAGAGCAGTGAGACCCTTGTTGCTGCAGCGCACCACAGTGTCCAGGCAGGAACACTCTGCTGGACACCTCAGCACCGGAGAGCAGCTGTTCTCATCATTACCTGGATGCATATTGCAATGGATGCATGGAAACAAAAGTACAGGCGAGGGGAAGAAGAAATGAGGAACACGTTTGAAAATATCTGCAGCAGACGTTCAAGAGAGCATCACGTGGAGCTAATATTATTTACTCCATCTCACCATCTTCACAGGCGAAGTCCTGGACCGCTACGTCCTGGATGGGGATCTCCTTCAGGAAGTAGGGACTCTGGCAGCGAGGGTTACCGGTGACGATGCGTTTCCTTCTCAGCCAATCGCCGAGCCAGGCCAGGTGGCAGTTACAGTTAAAGGGATTGGCCAGAAGGTTTCTGTGGAGCAAAGAAAAGAGGTTAAAGCGCTCAGTGGCTTTTTTTTAATGACACGTTTATATGTTGCATGTATGCATGAGTGCGTCATACTGTTTACACTCACAGCGTGGACAGAGAGTGCAGCGTATCGAAGGCTCCGGGGTTCATCGAGGTGATCTGGTTGTCGTAGAGCGACAGGAGACGCACTGAGCTCAACCCCACGAAGCTGCTGTTACTCACGCAGCTGATACGGTTACTCCTCAGCATACTGCTCACACAGACACACACACAGACACACACACACACGTGAGCAAGTGTAACGTGTATTTTACAGGAAAAAAAAATATACAAATAGATATATTTTATCAGCCCATGAATTATGCATGCTTGTATAATTTTTTAGCGGACAGTGTCACAGTATGTGGGAGCAAATTTGAATATTGCGAGCATACTTAATGCATATGCATTCGAGTCTGTGCATGTGTGCATGTGTGTGTGTACCCACAGTGTGCGGAGGCCACTCAGTCCCTTCAGCATGCGGTGGTGTACGTTCTCCAGTCTGTTGGAGGTCAGAATCAACTCATTGACCCCTGAGGCTCCTTCAAATGTCCCCTCCTCTATGTCAGTGATACGGTTATTGCTCAGGTTACTGCAGGGAGTTTGAGGCAGGAGGAAGAAAGGTAAGAAGGCAGCAAGAATGAAACAAGAGATAAGAAGGTTGTAGTGAGGAGGAAGGGGGAATGTGTGCAGAGAGAAAAGGACAGTTTAATTTCTATATCAGCATGTTTACATTTGTAGCTTTCTTTGTGTATGACTTGAGTATGACTTTCAAACAAGCACATTGTTCTCGTTAGAAGTCTGACTCACATCTTCCTCAGCTGAGGCAACTTTTTGAAGATCCCCGTCGCCTCGAGCACAGTGAATTCATTGTTGTTCAGACGCCTGAGAACAGAGCAAAGACGAGGTGGTCAGATACAAAGAGAGAGGACAACTGAAGGAAAAAGAGACAGAAAGGAGATCAAAGGTGATATGAGGTTTCTTCTATACCACACACAGATACACTTTGTAGCACACAAACAAAGCATGACTCACAGTTCGGCCGTGTATTGAGGAATGTGATCTGGTATTTTGGTGAGTTTCTGGTTGGAGCAGTCGACTGTGGTGCCCTCACAGCGACACTTCTCGGGACAGGCCAAGTCGGCGAAGCAGTCACCTCCAAGTTTACTGCGGTAATCCTCCGTACCTGGTCACAATCACAACCACAGCGTCACTGAACGTCCTCACTGCGCGAGAGTCGAACCCCAGCGTTTACTGGCATCAGTTCCGACAAAAAGACCGCAGAAGGCCGAAGTGAAGGCTGTGACACAATGGAAGGATTTTATGATGTTGCAGAGGGACTGTGCTCCTTTTGTTTGTGCTGGGAGTTATTGAAATGAGCCAAATATGACTGATTATGATCTAATGCAACATTCCCCACGAGCATTACTTCAAAATGCTGCATGTGTATCACAGCCTCACGGGAGCCGAGTCCAACAAAGACACGCAAACGGTGTAGATCGAGATAAACACACGCACACGTGCACCCACATGAGAACACTCTGGAGTTTTTCTGTCCTGTCAGACTACAAAGCAACTGTTAGTGTTAGAAACCACAGCACAAACAAAACGGCATCAGAAATGAGATCACAGCAGAAAAATGCTTACGCACACCCAGGCGGTCATCGATCATACTGTACAGGCACAAACACACACACACACACACAAACACATTCAGAGTTTGTGGGGAAGTGACAGGAGTTTGCTGTCTCTTGCGTCTCGGCCATGCTGTAGGGTTTTGCAGGGCCGTTCCATGGTGCTTGACAGAACCATGTTCCACTTTTGGAACCTGGCAGCCACATGGTTAGATCAAGCACAAAGGAACAACCTGCTGACTGACTGCTCCTCCGCTGGAACACAGGGGTGGGAAAGACAGAGGGAGAGGAGGAGGAGAAGGAAAGGATTTATTTATTTTTTTTTTAGTTTTTAATATGCAATGCTTCCACCTTTAAAAAAAAGGAGAGGAAGAATTGAGAAGGAAAAGACAAGTGGCATGGAACAGGTAGGAAAGGACGAGAAAAGAGGATAAGATGGAGAGGAGACACATAAGGGAGGTAGGTAGGAGAACAGAGGCGACAATAAGAGAGGAGAGGCAAGGATAAGAAGGAGAGAAAGTAGAGGAAGGAAAGGGGAAAATAATTGGAGGAAAAGAGAGAGGGGGAGAGGAAAATAATGAAATGAACAGATAAAGAAGAATAAAGATTAGGAACAATGAGCAGAAGAAGTAAGGAGGTGTCAGGCAAAATCTAGAGAGCAATAATAAGAAGGAGGAGAAGACGAGTAGGAGACGAGTCGAGGTAGAAAGTACAGCAAAGTGATAGAAAACGGGTAGAAAAGGCAGGAAGAGAAGGAAACATCTACAGACGTCTAAATTCACAGACAACAGAGCAGGAGCAGAGCAGCTGTTACAGAGGAGTGGGAGGAGAGTTACAGCAGCACTGAATGCAAGAGAAGCTCTGACTTCTGGGTGTCACACTCACACACACAGACCCCATCGTACAACACAGAAAAAAGAGACACATGTATGAACCGTCAGCGTGTCCTGAAGTGTAACTTTTATGTGTGTTGTTCTATTTTTGTTGGTGGTTAAACAACCAGACAGGAGGAGTCACACAGGGGTCAACGGTCACTGTGGTAGAGGTCACAGGTAAGAGGCCAGCTCAGGGACGAGAGGTGAGGGATTCGGAGTTCAACGAGAAAAAAAAAGGTGTGTGTTTGCTTGCGCGTATGTGTGTGTGTGTGTTACTTACAGCCGACATGGTGTACTCCTGAGTGTGTTAGAAAGGCAGTAGGAGGAAAGAAGAAGGGATTTCACTCGTTTATTTGAACAGGAAAGAAGAAGAAAGCTGATGAAAAACGGTGGAGAAAAAAAGCTGCAATTTGTGCTGCAATTCGTGTTTCGGTCCCCAGGCAGTGATTCATTTAAAGGGGTAATGACTCGTGAATAGTGAGAGTCATGCTGGCATTACATGACACAGGACAAGCGCTCTCGTCCAACACACGGCCTTGCCTAGTTCTGCTCGAAGCACGGCTGGATTCAAGCGTGTTTTTGGGGAGATTACGAGACAGAAAACACACATAACTAGTTAAAAGAGCTTTGTCTGTAACCAGCAGAGCCAAACACTCACAAGAGCAATTACTTTACTTTGTGCTTTTGTTTTTTTTTTTTTTTTTTTTTTTTTTTTTTTTGACATCAATCACTTCAGCAAGTTCAATCATCACAAGACTAAAAACCATTAAACTGGTAGATTTGGTTCTAACAGAAATATGAGATAGAATCCAAAATAATGCACCATGAAATAAATGGACATAATGCAAATTAAACTGGAGGATTTAATATGTATTGATCTGAGGGGCAAAACCGCAGAATAAAACATGTTTATTCAACTTTTCAACCGCAAATGTTCTTAAATTATTCAGCTTTGCCCCGTATGTGGTATCTGGGCTTTGAAACCTCTGTCCCCCCGGTGAGCTTCAGAGTTAATGACTGCAGTGAACACACACACACACACACACACACACACACACGCACACGCACACACGCACACACACACACACACACACACACACACACACACACACACAACCATGCCTCCTCTGTGAGCTGCTGTGGTAATGACCGCCTTTAGCCCTGCTACTGATCTCATATGCATGTCTGATTTACATATTTCCCAGCACCCCTCTGAGCATGGTAACTGTGTGACCTTTTGATGTTCTGCAGTGAAAGAAACAGACACAGATGCTCACGGACACACGCTCATGCATTAGCTATCATTAGATGTGCTAAGAAGCGAGGAGGACCAGTATTAAATGTAGTCTCTGTGATCGCTGTGCCAATATACTTTCATTTACACAGAGTCTTGCACACGCGGTGCCCGGCTGACGGCGACCTGAACTTATTAATCCAATTGTTTTTCTCTCTCCATCGTCAAGGTTACCGGCGAAATCCTGGTGCAAGGACGGGAGCGTGATTATCTGGTGCCTGGTTAGACGTGAGGCATTACGATGTACGTTAGACCATTAAAAGATGAATCTTTTGGCATACAAAAGGTGTCAGTCAAGGCAAGTCACTCCAAGTGTCAGGGGTGTGTGAGTGTGCAGCGTTCGCCATCAGTGCAACAAACAGTGTCTTATATACACGCTCACACACACACACATGCTCAATGCACAATACCTGGGATGAAATACTGTTCTCTTGCTAATGGAGAGACAGAGAGAGCCAAGTGAAAAACAACAAAAGAAGAAAAAGGCTAGACTCGAAGAAAGTTGGTTTGTGTGTGTGTGTGTGTGTGTGTGTGTGTGTGTGTGTGTGTGTGGCAATGATGTGGTGGATCCCACAGAATACCAAAAAAAGGGAGTTGAGGTTAGTAGAGAGAGGCTGAGGGAAAATCCCAGCAGGAGGACACAGAGTGAGAAGAGAGGACAGTTTGTCTTGAATATTATGTTTGGGAATCTGTGTGTGTGAGATCAGGAATAAAACTAATTATTCCCAGGGGATGGATCAATGTTGATCTACTATGTATGTAGATTGGCTATATTTATGTGAGCTACTGTGTGCATATACACAACAGGCTGCGTGCGCGCATGTACCTGAGCAGCGGAACTTCTTGCTCTTGATCTGTCCGATTCGTTTGTTGGCGAGCCGCCGAGGGCTGGTGCAGCGGGCGCCGCTCGTCTCGATGGGATTGTCCTGCAGGTAGTCAGCCAGCCACTTCAGATGGCAGTCACAGATAAACGGGTTTTGGGCTAAGTGACTGATTCACACAGGCACGGACACACAGAACACAGACAGACAAGCTGTTAGAACAATATGCGGCTGTAAACATGTTTGTCTGAAGCTGTCCAATGAAAATAAACGAGCATACTTGCTCATGGCAGGTGTGGGATAAAATCGTGTCACCTGATTTTGGAACTGTTGTTCTATCAAAGTCTGTAATATAATGATGCTACAAACAATTAAAAAAAATATATGTTTTTGTCACTGTTTGTGTCCGACTGGGAGGATATTTTATTCTTAAAAGTATATCGCCTACAAACACAACATTTATTTGTGTCAAAAATGATTTAAAGAACACATTCAACACTACTGATGAAGGCCAAATCTACTATATGTACTGTTTTCTTCATGTTATCAATACTTAAAGCAATGTTAAGTAAAGTTAATGTCACTGACATTTATGGAGCAGTTTAAATACTTTTACAAATTAGTTTCCCAGGCATGTTAAGCTGCAGGTAACTATGACAACAATATGTTTTACAGAATGCTGGGAGGTTCAAGTGTCATTTTTACTCTGTGCATCTGCACCTCTAAACGAAGAAGGAATGTAAAATGGAAAACAATGAGTACCACTAATGAGCACTTAAAAAGTAAAACGCTGAAATGTTCTTTCTTTATGGGTCTTTATGGGCATATGCAGTTCAGAATATATAGGGACTGTTCTAAATCAGACACATCGAACAAAATGCATGGCTATACCATATCTGCATTTCTGCAAACAAGACACTCTTGAGAAACTGTTGCACATTCAACATCCAGACTTTGTACATCTGATGAGACTGGGATGTACTGTTTAGAGTCCCAGATTCTTCTTTTGCATGTCCCCATAGACACACAAACAAAAACAAAGCCCCGCTTGGCACAAAGTCAAATAATAGTTGGAAACTGTGGTAGCTGACATGTCCACAGTGATGAGTGAGAAGTTATGAAGGAGATGATGTGCAATTTATTTGCTTCCAGTACATTTTCACACTACTTGTGATTGAAAAATAACAAGATTACTGCAAAGTGCCACTGCACAGTACAGCTTGTAAATATGATAATACACTCTGAGGTGAGCTAAATAAAAAAAAACAAACAAAAAAAACAGCTTTGGTGGATATGAAACATGTTGGGGCATATTCCAATGCTGATTTGATTGCACCTAACCAGTCAAATAATGTGGATTTTGCATGTTTTGATCAGGAAAGGAAAAGAAAGCCATGTTCTGAACATCAAACTGCTTTCTGTTACATGAAGTAATGGTAAAAAGGAAAACATCATTCATGGCAAATAGTCCCTTGAATAATTCAGCACTGATATAAGCCAGCCGGTAGTGTGCTATAAATAACAGGAGGTAGTTTGTGAGTTTTCAGGGTGTCATAATTTACCCTCCTGTTGTATCCACTAAACAGTGAAGAGAAACAGCAATAAGTGTCTGCTTAGGAGATCAAATTAAAGCTTTGATTATACAAGGGAGGACTTGCACACAGTTTATTGATGAAATACTGCTTTTCTAGTCCATACGAGTCCACTTGGAAGACTCTGTTGCATACGTGCACAATAGGTTGTATATCGTATGCTGTACATAAACACGACTGCCTAGACTGTGCACTATTGTCCTTGTAGTGTAGTCGAGGCGTGGACACAAAACAGCTCTGATCCACTGGGGAATGGACATGGGAGTTCTGAGGGAGTCTGGCACCGTGACGCAGGCAGTAAACCTTTGATCTGTAGGTTGTGGGGTGAGGGCTCTGAGGATCAGGCTTGTAACAGCACACCACTCAAATGCTCCATCAGATTGGGATCTGGGGAGTTAGGAGGCTGAGTCAACGGTATCATGTCCTTGTCATGTTCCTTGAGATGTTCCTGAGCTGCTTTTGTAGGAGTATTGAGTACATTGGCAGACTGGGGCAGGCTGCTGCCTTTGGGGAATATCATTACCACTTTGCTTGTTCTGTAACAGTGCTTAGGTGGATGGTATGTGTTAAAAGTAATATCTACATGAATGCATGAGGTTTCCCAGCAAAATAGATTATCAGCGTCAATCACTTCACCTGTCTGTGGTGGAAATGTGGCTGATCGGTAAATAAATCTTATGAAAGAGTGTGTAATCTGAAACATCAAAATGCAAAATGGTGGAAAACCAAAAAACTAATTTTTATTGTGGAAACAAGTATCTTTTTTCACGAGTGAAAACAACAAACATCCAAAACACACAAACATCATCAGAGGGCTGTACTCACAGTGAGATTAGTGGGTTATCAGGTATGTTGAGCTTAAAGTCAGAGTTTTCAGTGTCACGAAGGTGGCTCTCTTTTTACCTGGCTAGATCTCCATGGCAACTGATGCTGTGGAGCTAACCTGGTCTGGAGCAGGTTATGTTCAGAGTTTCAAATTTAAATTGACTGGAAGAAGCGTCTCCCTTTAATCAAACTGTTTCCTGACTATTATTTATGAGTGATACAGATTCTCAGCTGAGGAAATGTGTTTTATCTGCAAACATGTTAACTTGTGTGTTACTAACATCACTGAATGAAGCTGTCAGCAACAGTATACACTGCGTTGCCATGGGAACCCGACATGTATTTAGTTGGCGATGCAGAAATCCCATAAATATGTTCTTATGTTTGCCTCTGATTTGCTGTAATGTCTATTTACACTGCTGGTACTACAGCTGATAGAACACATATTAGAAAATTGGTTATTCTACTGGTATTTATTACAGAAAATTCAATCAATAACATTAATTTCACTTTAATGTGGCCAAAAATTAAAGTAATATCCTGCATTATGGGACAGTGTCAGACCTACATGCACTTCAATACAATATCATGTTTAAATATATGAAGTTTGAAGTTTAAAGTTTAACTTTAACGTGCAGCTGTCAGTTGAAAATAAGCGACAGCACTGATCAATAAAATAAAAATATTTTTTACCGTCATATTTTTCTACCATGTGAACGGATTCTGAAGCAGAAAGCCTGAGTTGACACAAAAAGTTGATCACCACCTTCTGGTACCTGTTATCTCTGACTGGGGCTTTAGGTTTCATCAAGCTGACTTACACAAAGAAAGTCAGGCTGTGTCAAACTTACGTCATAGTTCACCCCTCTGATTTGCAAGCAGTATCTGCTGTTGTTTTTCTACAATGCTATTCCTAAAAAAATAATAATTTCTATGTAAATCTTGGTCAGTTGGGATGCTTGCCAGCTGAAAGTCTCCCACCTCTTTATTTACCTCTACCACTGTGATGGTGTGCATGCTCACTGAGCTGTGAGAGTGTGTGTACGTACAGCGTTTGTATGGCTCTTAGTGAAGAGAAAGTCCCCTTGGCGATGGTCTGGAGCTTGTTGTCATACAGTGATAGCAGATTGAGGTTGTGAAGGTCCTGAAATGCGTCTACACGCAGACATGCTATCTTATTAGCATTCAGTAACCTGAAACAGGGAGAGACAGAGAGCGAGAGAGAGAGAGAGAGAGAGAGAGAGAGAGAGAGAGAGAGAAATGAAAGCTTATCCTGTTATCATACTTTGAGTGTTTGAAATGGTGCAGGTCAGTGATGATGGCTTTCAATCAGGATGTCTCCACTCTGATGACAGTGTTTCAGGTAAGCACTTTTCAGCTGAATATAAATGAGATGCAGATGTG